CTGCCCCCCCCCCTCTCTTGTTTTTAGTGTGTGTGTGCGTGTGCGCAGTGAGGATCGGAAGTTTTGATGGAACAGGCTGAGAACAGAGCCACATGATAACAGTAACATCTGGCTCGGGCTCCAGAGATGATTACTCTGCAGCTCTATGAGGACTCATCCTGCAGGCGTTGCTCTCACCCTGGTTTACACGGACACACGGACGTACACAAACACGCACAGAATGGTGGAGCCAGATGGCACCGTTCCTTTGACTATCACCTAAACCCCGGCGGAATAGCTGCAACGAGAGGTTTTGGTATGCAAACACAAAGGTGAGAAAACCGAAAGGCTGCTAATTGGTGCCCATGACAGAAATCACATGATGACAGGAACCACGTCCAAACTATATGGACAGCTTAGCATTTAACGCCACAAGACGATACAAACACATTTTCATTATGATACTTGACTTTTATGATGAAGCGATGTTGTGTATAGTACAGCGGGTCGAGGCAGATGTGGTTTCGAGTTTACCAATGGCACGCAACGGTGTAAGAATACGTCGTCACGCAGCGCAAGGAGGCGAGCTGAGTTACGTTCATACCTTCTAATTCATTTGTTTTATATTTTTGGGCCTAGAAGTGTGTTTCATTCAAATATTTACTGTAATTATGACTTAACTGGAGTGTTAGCGTAGGTTAGTGATAGACGATAGGGCGAATTCCAAGTTGAGTGCAACTTTGGGTTGCATCGTAGTCATACAATAACAAGAAAGTAATATAAGTTGGAAACGAATGGTTGGCTTTGGTGTTATAATAAGCTAAAATTATATCAATTCGGGTTCCATTCCATTTAGGATGGATATAGGCATGGGTATATTTTGACAAACACTTCACTATAAGAAGTAATTTGACAGGTCATGGATAATTCTACAAAAAATGGTTTACTGTCAAACAAAACATAAAACAAAAAGAATTACGCAATGCAACCACGCAAATTTGCCTTCTATTAGTATAAAACTAACACGCAATGCCATAGATGGGCAAACCAATAGCATCGATAGTCATAACAGTACAGGCACAAAATAACAGTCACAAGCATATATTATTTATCTTCTGAGAAAAATTACTAATATTACAGCAACTTCCTGACTCACTTAAAATAGAGTGAGTAAGCTTAAAACTTTCTTGGTTTGTGTCTGCATGACTGTATTATACTGCCCTCGGTGGTCCGGTCATACACACCAGCAGAAGCTGCACTGTGACTAAGTAATTCCGTTACTTAGGGTCTGCATTTATATAAAGTAGAATGTTATCGAGTGCTATTTTACTCATTAGAACAAAACACATTGCCTAAGCAATAAATACATCGCCTAAGCAATTAATGTCAGTTTGATTCAATTCCATGTGAAAATATGATTTGAGTGTTTGAGTTGGTCATGGGATGAATTGAACTCGTACAACTCGGAAACGTGCATGTGCAACAGAGTGCAAATTGATTTTCCCCTGAGGGATTTTTTTTTTTTTTTTTTGTAAAATGTGAACGTATGAAGCCTATGTATGAATATGTTTAAAACGCACGTGACTCCTAAAATGAAAGTGTAAAATTTAATTTCACATATCATGTAATAATGTCATAACTTTTCAACTGGAGCCAGAACCCAGACGTGGGAAGTTACGTTGCATTCAAATGCCATAGGAATAAAATACAAGTCCCTTTGAAACTCCATAAGAAGTTGCTGAGAGCCGACTCATACCTGTACCAGTCCAGTCCGCGTGCGTAATGCCGGTCAAAGAAGTGCGGTTCGGAACCAAGAGCCCGGATGTCAGGATGGAGCCGCAGAAACTCCAGCAGAGCTCTCGTTCCTCCCTTCTTAACCCCGATGATCAGAGCTTGGGGTAACCTGCGCGTGGCCGTCCATTCTTTCCCAGAGCTGTTCGACTCCATCCCGGTTTGAGCCGCGAACGCACCATCGCCCACTGACGCGACTTTGGAAGCCCCGGTGACGTTCCTCTCGTACGGCCATCCCGGCGTGAGGAACCCGAGCGCGTTTGGCTTGCTGTCAGAGTTTTCCACCAGCCCGGACTGGCAGCATCCGGCAAGGAGGTAAACCAGGGAGAAGCAGAGGATACTCAGAGAAGACGCGATGGTGAGCCGGTGGAAAAGTCTCCGCAAGTCCGCGTTTGGAAGATGGTGATGACGAGTGCAAAAAGCTGCCATTCCTCAGAGATCCATGTAGGAAGGGAAGCCATTCTACCTCGCGTTCGGCTCACATCCCTGCATATTCACGCTCCTATGAGAAAAGAAAACTCTTTCAGGGAGTCTCGTCTTGTGCGCTGCCATCCATTCGGCGTCCGGTACGCATCAATTAGTCACTCACACGAAATTTGTCGCTTTCTCAAACTTGATTTACTTTCGCATAGAGGACTCCAGAGTCCCTGTGGTGACCAGTAAACCTTAATCATAAATTCGAAACCAGCAGAGTGTTTGTTGCTCTATCCCCCTGCGCGGAATTACTCTGCAACTCTCCAGCATGGTTTATCTCAAGGGGATCTCTCTCTCTCTCTCTCTCTCTCTCTCTCTCTCTCTCTCCCTCTCTCTCTCTCTCTCTCTCGCTCTCTCTCTTTCTCTCTCTCTCGCTTTCTCAATGCAACATAATGGAACCAAGGTATCCCAAAATATATACACATTATATATAATATATTCAATGCACCCCCCCCCCCCACCCTGTCCCCCCGGGGCCATTTTTTT